CCTCCCTCCCCCTCCACGCAACCTCGTGCGTTTATTGCGTAGAACGTAACATACATCTCAATTGCTAAAGAGCTATTCCATAATAAGAGCGATCGTCGTAATATTAAATAATACAATTACAAACTGGAGATTAAAAAAAGAGCAGGGGAAAGCAGGAAACGATCGTCGAAGAAAATTACTCGCCGGTTGAAAACAAGGTACAATTTTCTTCTTTTTAATTAACGCGCGAGGTTATCTCACTACTCTTCCCTATCCACCCTTCCGATATCTCCAAAATTTTAAGAAAGAAGAAACAAACCCGCGAAAACACAGTTTTCTAACTAGAATTACACGAGATTACAAAGTTTCTACGACCAACAAAAAACGTGCGCAACAACGTAATTAATACCTACGTCTAATTTTTCTATGCTTTCGTTCCAATTAAATTCGTATCGATAATTTCCATCGTAGTCAAACTCGATTCGAACGGCTGAAAACGGATTAAAATCGGCGGGGTTTTGAAACACACGGAACGGATCGATTCCAAAAAGCGGTTTTTAGCGGCGAGAAAGGAATAGAAGGAGGCGAAATTACATCTCGAAGCGGGCTGAGGTCGCAGTCTACCGGAACAGAGGAGACTCGTCCGTAGTCGCAGTTTGTCGGCCAATGGGACCAGACAGAAACGCAATCGCAATGCAGGCCAATCCCTCTGCCCCGTTCGTCCACCCGCTCGCTCGCCCTCCCGTTCCCGGTAATGACAATCATTACGGGGAATGATTGCAGCGTCGGGTCCGCCAGCGCGCCAGCCGCTATTGGGGGATGGAAACCACCTTATAGAGTCTCTCCTCGGTCCTCGATGCGAGCGGTTTGTCACATGCTCCCGCCGCGCCAAAGTGTTTCCTCTACGCCGTAACGAAATCGGTCAAGAAATATCCCTGTCCCTTTCGCGAAACGACGGACGAGGCGTTGGTTGGGACACGTCACACGCTCGATGCTTCCAACTGTTCTATCCGCGAATGTTTCGATTATTATTACGGAGCGCACGTGGATTTTTGGTGTAACGACGAGGCTTGGATTCGCAACGATCGAAGAAATGGAATGGCTTCGAAGAGAGTGTCGAAGGAACTGAGGTAAACTTGTTGTGATATCGATTCGAAGGAAGTGGTGAACGGGTCGAGGAGTGTTTGTGTTTGGACGACGAAGCGACGGGCGACGCGTGATAGAGATATCGGTGTAAAAGAAGTGTAAATATTATCGAGTAGCTGTTGTCGGATCGTATCCGTTCAAGGATGATGTAATTATCGAAGATTTTTTCTTTTTTTTAGACGTTTGTGCACGAGAGGAAAGGAATTTATATCTAAGATGTAAAATATATAAAATATATATATATATATATATACGAATGTAATAGGAGAACTTCTAACGCGATGTACGAAGTGGCAGAGAAATATGGCGGTCGTTTGACCACGTGACCCTTTTTATATCTTTAAGGTAACTGAAAAAAAAGCGAAATATCTAATGTGTATAATCTACCTACGCGTTTATTAATAAGATGTCTGTCTAATAATCGACATCTTCGCTTCGATCCATCTCAATTTTCCGATTCATTTACGCCATTACCGTGCATTTCAATCGAGATAGATAGATAGGCGAGCCAATTATATTGTATCTCCTGTTTAACGCCATCAATCACTGGAGATCCGCCAAGTTTGTTTAAACTTCTCCTCGCAATCGTAGCGAAGCTTGGGCGCCAATTGTCGTTCGGAAATATATCGTTTTCTGCCCTTCGCGAACTCTTTACTCCGGATGGCAAAAAATCTCTCCGTAAACGGAGATAATCGATAACATTTCGCCAATGAGATGGATTCGGATGCGCCGAGATAAGGGAATTAAGGATGTCAATCTCGAAATCGATAAAATATGAATGCTTGTTAAAACAAGGATCGAGCCATAGCCACGCTCTCTCTGTCCACGTCGAGCGTAATAAACCGTGATAATCGTTGAGCGTAATCAACGATCGAATGAAAAGTCCTCGCGTTTCTAGGAAATTATGGAATCGATCGGTTCGCGAGTTATCCGGATCATTCTTGCGAAACCCTGATTTCTTCGCTGGCAAAAAGCGTGGTCGCGAGACCGGTTAGTGCTTTAACTGGTATCGAAAGAACAGATTGCAGGAAACGAAGGGATAAAAAACGCGGGGCTGTGTGCTTCGCGAAGTGAGGGATAGATCGCGGGAAAGAGAGAGTGAGAGAGAGAGAGGAAAAAAAAACGGTTAAAATTGCCGTCCGTTTGAGAGGAGCTGCTCAATGAACGCCGGCACACATCTCTCCCGATTGTTTTCACCCTTCTTCGACGAATTCTGTATAATTGCGCTCGGACGTAAATAAAGATTATCGCGAATGAATGGCGAGGGTTGGCGAGAACGAGGTGCAACGCGCGTACAATGAACCTTAATCGTAAGAACGATCATCGGAGACGACAATTTCGCGCATCGAGTCTGAGTCAGTCGAGCGATGGATTCTCTATCGTTTTCGCATAAAAAATCGAATAAGATTCGAGCTACGTATTCTTCGTATTCTTGCTCACGAGCCGCTCGTGATACTAATCATCCCCCTTGCGCGCAAAAAGAAAAAAAAAGAAAAGTAGCGATCTATTTTTCTGGAGTCCGTACGGCTCGTTCCTCCGCCCCAGTCCAATCCAGTTTTCCAGCCTATTTAATCCGGTTCCAGGACTTTGACTTCTCGGTTCAAAGTATCGGTTACAAAGTATTCGGATCGATCGCCGGGGGTATATTTAAAGACGCAGGAAGAAATTCGACTGGTGACCGGATTCGCTCATACGCGTTCTGGAAACGGAATACGCCGTGTTTTGCTCGCGTGTGTATGCGTATTTCTGGGCGCGTTCGGCTCTCGTCCTTTCTCGCCGCGGAAAATATAATGATGGCGAGCGAGCGGAGCTGCGAGCGTTCGTTCGTTCGTTCGTTCGTTCGTACGGTCGAGACTCGCGTTGGAAACCGGCGATAAGGAGGGAGTGTCTACTGCCGCCATAATGATAGCCCTGAGCGGCTCTCTGACTCCGGTACA